GCGAGAAAAATTACCGTGCTCACACAGTAAAGTATGGGTTCAGATGGTCTTTCCAGGCGAAATGTACCGCAAAGAGTAGGAAAAAGTATTGTTGCACGAATCATTTTTCGGATAAATGCGGGGAAAAATTCTTGTGCAGCACGGTAAAATTGAAACGACAGTGAATTTTTACGAGAAATACGAGAAAAATTATGACACTGGCACCCTCCCCCACGTGCTTGCAATTATACTGTTGAAAAAAATTGAAATTCATGGATAGTTCAGTGGTAATTTTTAGGAGCAAGACATTTAATTTAGTTTGAAAGAGGAGTGTCATGAAATTTAAAAATTCACTGAAAATTTAATGGAATTCAACATTTCTTGATAGTATGAAAATAAAAAGTTGCTGAAATTTTCATTTAAAACGTGAATATTCTGCACCTAATTGCTCACTCTATATGTTCGATTGATAAACCAATTATAATTGTTCCAATCATTTAAGTTGGGGGCAATAGAATGATTTAACTTTCTTAATGTTGCGTTTACTAAGGTTTTCTCCAAACAAAGTTGATTAGAATCAATAACTAGAATTATGAGTTTATATATCACATTTTTTACATGAAGTGCAGAAGAATCTGAATGCACTACAGTAAAAATGATAGATTTTTTCACGTTGAACAAAGAATAATAATAATATAGGAATAAAAAAATTCAGTTATGAATGAACAGCTGTGACTCAATATTCCATAACAGTAGAGAACAGGAATAATTATATTTTCATAATATCTGAAACATTAACATGAATTTCAGATTCACAAAAAAAAATCGAGCAGAAGTCAAATTGTCATTTTACGTTTTAATTTCCAATTTGGTGCTGAAAACATGAGGTGACAATATTCTAAATACGGAATTATGTTGATGATATGAACAATAGATTAATTGAATTACCGAGTGAACTGATTGAAAAATTGTATCACGGTGTAGGCATGCACTTTTACCAGAGTATCACCAAACATTGAATTTCGGCAATTTACTCTTCGAATTATGTTCGAGTAGGAATTGGATTGTAATCTTATTCAATGAGGAGAGGAATTAGTATATGCGCAGGTTATTCATTGCAATATAAATATTTTATAGTTAATAAATTGAGGCACATCATTTTCATCAGTCGCACTGCTTTTTGCAATGAGAATGATTATGAACAATGAATGGAAGAAAGAAATTCTGAGTCCGACGGGAAAAAAGGCATGAACATTGCAGCCGGAATTGTGTTGAAAATATGGAAAGAGAGCTCTTCAGCTTGACTAAGATAATAATCAACAGTCGAAACTATTGAAACTGATATGAAAATTTTAGAGTAGGTTTTATCTTTTATGTGAGGGTTCATCAAGAGATTGTTGGAAATTAATGAATACGTGTTTCAGCTTCGTTACAAAATCCATCTCTAAGGGTGTGAATAGAGAATGAATTATAGAAACTTCGAGGAAGGTTGCAGATTTCCACAAAAATCAGAGAACTGTCAATTTTTTTTCAGAGATAATTCGGGAGTTTTCCAAAAATTCAAGATAGTTATGAGGTTTTCTGAAGAACTTAGAGACAATCCATGGAGTTTTTGAAAATTACAAAGTATTTCCAATATCTCTCAAATATTCGANGCAATTATACTGTTGAAAAAAATTGAAATTCATGGATAGTTCAGTGGTAATTTTTAGGAGCAAGACATTTAATTTAGTTTGAAAGAGGAGTGTCATGAAATTTAAAAATTCACTGAAAATTTAATGGAATTCAACATTTCTTGATAGTATGAAAATAAAAAGTTGCTGAAATTTTCATTTAAAACGTGAATATTCTGCACCTAATTGCTCACTCTATATGTTCGATTGATAAACCAATTATAATTGTTCCAATCATTTAAGTTGGGGGCAATAGAATGATTTAACTTTCTTAATGTTGCGTTTACTAAGGTTTTCTCCAAACAAAGTTGATTAGAATCAATAACTAGAATTATGAGTTTATATATCACATTTTTTACATGAAGTGCAGAAGAATCTGAATGCACTACAGTAAAAATGATAGATTTTTTCACGTTGAACAAAGAATAATAATAATATAGGAATAAAAAAATTCAGTTATGAATGAACAGCTGTGACTCAATATTCCATAACAGTAGAGAACAGGAATAATTATATTTTCATAATATCTGAAACATTAACATGAATTTCAGATTCACAAAAAAAAATCGAGCAGAAGTCAAATTGTCATTTTACGTTTTAATTTCCAATTTGGTGCTGAAAACATGAGGTGACAATATTCTAAATACGGAATTATGTTGATGATATGAACAATAGATTAATTGAATTACCGAGTGAACTGATTGAAAAATTGTATCACGGTGTAGGCATGCACTTTTACCAGAGTATCACCAAACATTGAATTTCGGCAATTTACTCTTCGAATTATGTTCGAGTAGGAATTGGATTGTAATCTTATTCAATGAGGAGAGGAATTAGTATATGCGCAGGTTATTCATTGCAATATAAATATTTTATAGTTAATAAATTGAGGCACATCATTTTCATCAGTCGCACTGCTTTTTGCAATGAGAATGATTATGAACAATGAATGGAAGAAAGAAATTCTGAGTCCGACGGGAAAAAAGGCATGAACATTGCAGCCGGAATTGTGTTGAAAATATGGAAAGAGAGCTCTTCAGCTTGACTAAGATAATAATCAACAGTCGAAACTATTGAAACTGATATGAAAATTTTAGAGTAGGTTTTATCTTTTATGTGAGGGTTCATCAAGAGATTGTTGGAAATTAATGAATACGTGTTTCAGCTTCGTTACAAAATCCATCTCTAAGGGTGTGAATAGAGAATGAATTATAGAAACTTCGAGGAAGGTTGCAGATTTCCACAAAAATCAGAGAACTGTCAATTTTTTTTCAGAGATAATTCGGGAGTTTTCCAAAAATTCAAGATAGNGGAAAAATTCTTGTGCAGCACGGTAAAATTGAAACGACAGTGAATTTTTACGAGAAATACGAGAAAAATTATGACACTGGCACCCTCCCCCACGTGCTTGCAATTATACTGTTGAAAAAAATTGAAATTCATGGATAGTTCAGTGGTAATTTTTAGGAGCAAGACATTTAATTTAGTTTGAAAGAGGAGTGTCATGAAATTTAAAAATTCACTGAAAATTTAATGGAATTCAACATTTCTTGATAGTATGAAAATAAAAAGTTGCTGAAATTTTCATTTAAAACGTGAATATTCTGCACCTAATTGCTCACTCTATATGTTCGATTGATAAACCAATTATAATTGTTCCAATCATTTAAGTTGGGGGCAATAGAATGATTTNTTTTCTGAAGAACTTAGAGACAATCCATGGAGTTTTTGAAAATTACAAAGTATTTCCAATATCTCTCAAATATTCGAGGATTGCTGAATAAATAATGGGAAAATAATTTATAGGAAAGGACGGCATTTTGCAAATAAAACTGATTTGAAGCAGTCATGTGAGCCCGAATATGGTACTCTGATTAATTGAAATGAGAAAGGAGGAAATAATTTGGAATTTCCTCGGATTTTCTCTACAATTCCACAAAAATTTTTAAGTTTCTTGAAAAAAATTCACATAAATTTCAAAAGTTTATAGAAAATTTGAAAAAATTTCAGATGATTCATCAAAGTTTCAAGTTTATAACATCGTCGAATAAAATTGTGAAAAGGATCATGAGTGAAGAGAAAACACTTCGAATTAGCGAAAGAACATCAGAATTAACCCCATAATTTTTTTAGAAAAATAATTGAATCCTTTTGTCAAGTTGTAAACGGAAATAAAGAGGGAGGCGAAGACAAAAAAATTATGGACTGTGAGAAATTTGGTAATTGTTGTTTTGCACTCTGAATATAATTTTGATTACAATAGTAATTAAAACTTCATTCAGTGAGGACGGAAACTCAGAATTAGTGGATCACTTATTGAAATATTGAAATTGAGCAAGCAATGAACCGAGACACATTGTTTTCATTAACTTTAACACTCAATAGACTAAAGCGACGATGAATCATTAATTTTCGAAAGAAACAAAAAAAGCAAAGGTAGAATAAAGGGGCTTGCGGCCGCGGCGGCGCTAATATTTAAATAACTGAGGAACTGCTGAATGATTCTGGTTCAGTATCTAATCAGATCTATGATTTATGAGAGCGAATCCACCAATTCTGAATATGAAAAATTGCCTCAAAATTTTCAAGCTTTTTTTCTATTTTTTATCGAAAGGGATAGTCCAAAAGAAGAAAAATGAACGCTACCAGAGCTCTCTAATTCAATTATTGGTCGAGATATTGAAGTTAAAAAATTTGTTTTCTTCTAAAGCCGAGATATTGAAGTTGAAAAATTTGTTTTCTTCTAAAAACTTTTTTTTTTTATTCTGATGATATCTAAGAACGATAAAAAAAAATTGAACCCATAGATTTCGACGGAAATGTTCTCAGCTTTTCAAAAAAAATATTAATAAAAATTTTGTTTTTCTTTGCATTTCATCTCTGAATTTGTGAGAGCACCAAAAATGAAAATATATTTTTGTTAGAAAATATTCTGAACTTTACGATGAAAAACTAAGAAAAGATTGGGGAACGACCCCTAATGGCTTTTTAAAACTTTCTTTTTCAATTTTCTATGCCAAAATACAGAGATACATAAAAAACAATATTTTTTTCGAAAAGCTGAGAAAATTTCCGCTGAAATCTATGGGTTCAATTTATTATTTCAATTAATTCGAATTGAAAAACAAAATTTTTAGAAGAGAACAAAATTCAAACTTCAATATCTCTGCTAATAATTGAGTTAGAGAGCTCCGGTTGCGCTCATTTTTCTTCTTTTGGACTCATAGTAGTCTCCCCTTAATTAACAAAAGCACAGTGACTTGTTTCAACATAATAACATTCATTTATGGGGAATGGTTGATTTAACACTAACAATATCAAATCTAAGGCAGCATAATTTAATTTCAGTCTATGATGACTCTGAAAGAACGAAAAGAAATGGAGGATGCATTTAAAAAAGCGCAAAAACCCTGGGCAAAACTCCTTCAGAAAGTTGAAAAGACAAAAGCTGAGTACCACAACAGTTGTAAAACAGAACGCACCGCGGCCAATATGGAGAGAAACGCCTCAGCAGACAGTTCGCTCTCGCCTGATCAGGTACTACCTCTAATCTCTAAGCCTTACACCGAAAAATAAAATGCAAACAAAACGAAACGAAGATAGTAAACACATAATTAAATACTGAAATTAAACGTTTCGCTTATTATGAGTATGGAAAAAAAATCTTCAACATCGAACAAACTTGAACATACTTATTCAAGGATCATTTTTGTTATTCATAAAACAATCACTGAATACCGGACAAAAGTCTTTTGTTGAAGATTTAATTCATTTAATTTAAACTTTGAATCAAGTTTATTCATAAAAATCACTACCACAGTTTTTACAACACGTGTGAACACATGTTCTCCTGCACCTATAAATCTCAAAAAATAGTTAACTCGTTTTTCACTAGAAAAAAAAACAACTTATTTGCTCTAGCAGCTGCCACGAGCTACTGGCTCTGATAACGTACGTGTCATAACAAACAAAAAATATTTGCATGAGATCCATGGTCTTTGTTCTATATCTTTCTCTCCTCTTTCCATATTTCCATGTGAATGCATGTTTGAAAACATAAGATGATTATTATTCATCATTAGTTTTGCTTCAGACAAATTAGTTAAAAAAGTTAATCGAATGAATTTGGCACATATCTCTGAATCTACTAGGTTTAAAGGAAAATTTCAGATGATTTTCTTCCAAGCCTAGTCTAGAAAAATAATAAAAGTAAAAATTAAAAAATACTGACTAGTCTATCAATTTGTTCACCAAAACAGATCTCATAATTCCTCATGACGCTGAAACTAGCGGGAGACCGTAGCGATGTGGTGGGGGACTGTACGGCCCCCACTACCGCCACTCACTGTACGCTCCCATCTCGTTAAATTACAAAAATTAATGCAAAGCAAAGCCGTGAAAAATTAAAAATATTGTCTATTTGTACCTGAGGGTTGGGGGAAGACTAATGGGGGGGGAGATATATCGGCGCACTCAGTAGGGGATTTTTAATTGATTTTTACAAATCCGAGTGAAAAAAAAAGAATTATAATCAAACGCAAACACTTGGGGTCAATTTTTTTTTTTTTTGAAAATGCACCGGGTGGGTTAGGGTTGACCCCCATTTGGAATTTTACCGGTGCCCTAATTAGGGAATTTTTCATTAATTTTTGAAAATAAATTTCACCAAGGCCTCGGGGGAAAAAAAAGATAATAATCCAACGCAAACACTTGGGATCAAAATTTTTTTTTTTTGAAAATGCACCGGGGGGGCTTATGAAAATCCTTCGGCCGTCCACACAATTCGGAATTCACAAAAAAAAATTAAAAATCCCCTGATTAGGGCACCGGGAAAATTCTTAATGGGGATCAACCCCCAACACCCCCGGTGCATTTTCCACAGAAAATTTTGCCCCCAAGTGTTTGCATTGGATAATTACCCTTTATTTATCAATTTGTTCACCAAAACAGATCTCATAATTCCTCTCTAAGCCTCTTCATTTTGAAGATATTTACAATTTTTGGAGAAAAATGAGATAATTGTTGTTCATAATCAGTTCCAATTTATGAAAATTAAAAACAAAGTATGAGCTTCATCATTTCTGATATGAGAAACTTTCATGAAAATTTTTGGGAAGTAAATTTTGCCTAAATTGGCATGTAAAATTCGGCCTTTTTAGATGCCAATAAGTGGATGTCGTGCATGGACCAACCGATTACTAAAGTTACTTAGGAATACTAAGATTGGTGACATTAAGTTTGTATGTATAACAACTGTCTGCATGTCGCATGATTATTAATGTTCTTCTCTGTGCTTTTTTTCCCTTTTTCTTTCGTTGGTTTTCCTTCCAGAGAGCACAACTGGTAAGCAAAAAAAAAAAATTAAAAACCCGGTCAAGTACGTCCGCCATATTTGAAGCTATTAAAGAGTCGCTGAAGAACTCAATAATATTTCTTATGAAAATTCCATTTGAAGGAAATATCAATCAATTTACTGGAAATGACTGAGGGCTTTTGATGGGGTTTTCTTCAGCGTCTCGTGAAGTTGACATTGGGATTTAGTAAATTGTGGATGAAATTTTTCTTTCACTTATATCAAAGCACTGGAAGTTTAATTGTATTGTGTGAAGTGTTTTTTGTAATCTACTAGATCATGAAGATGGTTTGGCAAATATATCTGAAAAAAGGAGATTCAGAGAAAAATATCAGAAGATCTTGTTCTGATGATTTTCTCGACTCCTCTCCCTTTTGCAGATATTTGAAAAATTCTGGATTTATCTACTCACTGATTTCATTTCATTCGAGAAAAAAATCTCACGTAGCAAAATACATTTCGCACATTTTCTCTTGTTTTTCGTAATTTACTCTATTCCATACTAACTTTTTAATGATAGTCATGTTTATGCATTATAATTATTTTGAATATTCCAAATCTCAGTTGAATGGGAATTTTTCATGTTGTAATTCAATGACTCATGAATCAACAATCAAATTCCATCAACAGGTCAAAAAGATGCAGGACAGAGTACAGAAGACTAAAGAGGAGGTGCAGAAGGCGAAGGAAAAATATGAGGCCTCACTTCAAGAAATAAATCAGTACAATCCCAAATATATGGAGGAAATGACGCAAGTGTTTGAAAAATGCCAGGAGATGGAGGCACAACGACTGCAATTTTTCAAGGAAGTACTATTTGGCATTCACAAGTGTCTCAACATATCACAGGATCCAGTGTAATTATAGTCATCATACACTCTTTACAACAGAAGAATGGGGAGAAACAATGGCTCACACTTATTTTTCTTTCAGTCTTCCACAAATTTATGAGGAATTTTATCATACGATTAATAATGCTGATTTTAAAAAGGACCTCAAGTGGTGGTCTAATAATCACGGGGTCAACATGGCCATGAACTGGCCACAATTCGAGGTAATCATTATTGTCAATCAGTTTCATCTAGCATGATTGATTTGTCCAACTTATTCTGACGAAGTGTTTGACCATTTATTTTTAACGGTTCAAGTGTTCTTTTTTTCAATCAGAGTAGTCGTTATATTTAGAGATTAACAGCATGGATTAGCTCCATTGAACATGTTATTCCGATATATGATTAATGTGTTGAATTTAATTTTCTTAACTTGGATTCTTTAAAATTTAGAAATAACTTAGTTGAAGAGATTCTGTTGGTAACCACGATATGAAATATTACAACACAAGCAAAGTGGTAAAATCTAAATCCCGATTTACCCGTATCGCAAAATATTTACGGCTGTTCTGGAGATTCTTCTCAACTGTATATAAAAATTTGTTACATCCAGAACTGTTGCACATTGATGACTCAAAAATTTTCATGTTTGTCATCAAATAATTAATTTGTGTTTGACAAAAATATTGAAAAATAGAGTTGGGATGATTGCAATCCGATTAGATTTCATTCCTGCTATGTTGACAGAAACATCATGAGCCCCAATATTAGATCTTGGAAATTTATGTATTTCAGGCAATAATACGTCCATTCAAGAGAGAAAATGGTTTCAGCCATTAAAATTATTAACTAAGCTCTGTAGTGAGTGGTGTTAAAGGAAATAATTAAAAACCCCTTTTTTACAAACCAGGCGCTTCTTACATAATCAGCTGCTAAACATCGATTTTCAATTCGACTTGATTACTTCTATCACTCCACCGTGGAATAACCTTTCTAAATTCTGTTTCGGATTCAGAGTAGTTGGAGTAGGTCACCATTAGAATCATTTCAATGATAGAATTTCAAATATGTGATAAAAATATATATTTCATATATATATTTCATAGCTATAGCTATGAAAGAATCGATATAGAACTTAGACAATTTTGGAATGGCTTTGCATGTCATTGTTTTTGGTCACTGCTGTATTACAACAGGATTACACAGAGGAATTCCGTGAAATCACCAAAGGATCAAAATCAAAAGAGGCGCTACCAGCTGGCTCCATTACCCTCATCAATCAACGCCCAGTTGGAGAAGACCTGCATGTAATATTTTATATTTTATTCGTTATCATATTCTTTCATTTGACATTTTCATTAAATTTTTGAGGCATGGATGCATTAAAATTATTAAAAAACTAGTTGCAATTCCAATTGAAAGACCAATGCCAAGTATTATGAAGCTTTATGAAGTTTTCTTTTCTCTCTATTGTCTTCTAATTTACGATCGTTTGGGTATAGGATTTCCCACCAGTTAACAATAAAGCTAAAGCAAAGCCACCAAGTGCTAGAATGATACCAGAGAACAATGGAGAGGGTAAAACGGATACGTTAGGATCGACGAAACAAAGTTCAGAGAAGAATAATCATGATGGTAACTCCATCAACAGATCTTCCACAATTACGTGAGTAACTTTTAATTTACGATAATTCAGAGAACTATTGTATTTAACATAGTGTATTTAGCCGTCAAGTGGTGACACGATTTGTAAGTGAACTTATCTCATTTTATTATTAATCAAATTAACTCGAGAATGGGGTTTCTCGATACCAAATATCCTGGAACATTTCTTACGGCAAATGTTCGCCGTCATATTGAAATTTCTTCATTACTCGATTAACAAACATTTCATATTTGATTCATTACCTGTTCAAAAGATAAATTCCAAATCACTTTTTAAATATCTTCGAAAAAGATTAAAAACGTGTTAGACCGTTTATAAAAGCCGAACGGTTGAAGGAATCGAAAAATCCTTTACATATGATATTCACACAGATAAAATACATGTCTAAAATTCCCAAGCCAATTGGAGGTCCTAAGGTTCCTCACATCACGAGTTAGCATGCACGGACAGAAAAATATTAGAATTTTTGTAGTGAATCTCGGAGAAAAATTCATGGTGTTGCCCCAGAATCGAGATACAAAATCTCGCAAACACAAAAAATATCACTAGCACATGAAAATTTGATACGTTAATACGCAAAATACCGTTATCCAAATTTTCAATAAATTTTTAAAAATAGAAGAAGCTCAACATTTATCCACCAGACAATTTTGCAATGACGTAATTTTTGGGTCCCTGCGACGCGGGAAAGGAAAGGGGGATGATACCAATATGCATGCAGCTAGAATTTTCAAATAAATTGGAGTCAATTGAGGAGGTTTGAAAGTTACCCTGTGGGATAAAATTTAGCTATGACACTATTTTTTGGAACAAAGAACTCTTTTTGACGTGCTTTAGAGGGGGGTGGTACCAATACGCATGCAGCTAGAATTTTCAAATAAATTTTAAATTATTTAGAAGGTTCGAAAGTTACCCTGTGGAGTATGCATTAGCAATGACGCAATCTTTTGAAACAAAAAAAAATGTTTTCCGAAGATCGGCAAGCTCCCTTCAAGCATGCCGCTCCCTACCCTGGCGGAGGCATTTTGATGGACGAGCATACGAATAATTCTGCAACAGTACAGGAAAAATTCAGTGTCGACATAATAAAATTTCGAAGCCCTCTTATATTAAATACAGGGGCACTATCAGTTTTTCTGAGAATCAACGAGAAAATAGAAGGAGCCACAAATTTTCATGTGCTGCCGAAGAATTTTTTCCCTACCGTCGTAAAACTTTAGGTGGTTTCCTTTACAAATTCATGGGGGCATGTGAATAATTCTCATGGAGATTCAGATTTTTCCGGTACTCCCCTAGAATAACTACGGTGTAATTCATTTGTGCTTCGTTTCCGGTGCTCAGCATATTAATTTTTCTCGGATTTTTTTCTCCGTGTGGAACGCCCCGTATACAGGGTGTCCCAAAATAGGTGACCAAAATTTAGCGACAAGGATATCAGCACCTTTTGAGTTGATTTGAATTGGCTAAAAATGGATAAAAACTTCTCTTCTGCCTCTCCCTCGCTGATCACACCTTCTTGGATCCAGAAATTAAATTCTCATGAAATATTATGTTTCGTAACGAGTGCAAAATAGTATATTTCGTAACGAGTGCAAAAAAGTGTTTTTTGGCGAGTGGGAGGTTTATATCACGAGCCGAAGGCGAGTGATATAATCCCACGAGCTAAAAAATATTTTTTCACGAGTTATGAACAATATTTTTCATCACAATGTGGCGGAAATTGGACTTTTAGGCACGCGGAGCGTGCCGAAAAGTTCACTTTTCGTCACAGCGTGATGAAAAGTATAGTTCGACACATGTGAGACGGGAATTTTAAGCTCGTGCGGTTGGCAGCCCTCAGCTCCGCCTCCTACCGTCACTTTGCGGGCATTTCTTCCATCTATCGGACAATTGTCGGATTCCGGCTCGGAAGAAAGATGGTGGTTTTGACTGGATGAAGTCATCAATGCCGGACTTCTTCAGGATATCAAAACTGGGTATCCACCAGGTGATGTTGTAGCGCCCGGAAAAGGTGANGACAGTGGCGCCTTTTTGAAATAACGAGCGCCAAACTTCGAAATGTGGATCCGTTAGCCGCTAAACCTCTGATGAGGACTCCATCGATGTTGACTCGTTCATTTTTTGAATAAATGGGTTGAAGGTGTATTCCAGAATAAATCAAAACACTAGTGCTTAGGAGAGCACATTAACACTATTTATTTCAAACTTCTAATTTAAACTTGAAATCTTTGGTAGACAAATACACTTGATAAAACTTTTATGGAAAACTTTAAGAAAAACTAATCGAAGAGAGAAGCTGGAACAGTTGTCGGAACAACAGCCACGATGGGACTGTCTCTAACTTAAACTAAAAATCTAAGCGTTGGGTCCATACACCCCCACTGGACCAAAAGTTGCGCGCGCAATCTTGGCCCGGAGTAAAGGGAAGAGGGGTAACTTAAAAGAGAAATCGGGAAGCGAAAGAGGGAGAAAGGGGAGCGTGTGACGTCAACAGTATTCCCTCTTGAGGGGTCTCAGGCCCTTCAGCTCCGCGATACAATGAACAAAGGAGACTCAACACTCAACACGTGTGGAACACGTGAATCAGAGAGACTTTCTAAATATCTCAGAACCGAGACTTAACAATTTTACGACCGTAACCGTCGAGTTTATTTTCTCTCTATATTTCAGAATTTCAAGAAAAGTATTGTTTTGAGGAATTTTGGAGAGCCGTAAATATACGAAGTAAACTCAAGTACTTGACATTTATTATTTCCGGCAACGGTTTTTCTCACGCCTGCGAAGTTGTTTTTCGTCCCCTGTTCATTGTCCTTTCATTCTCGACTTTTCTCAGTATTTAAAGATTTTACGTTATTTAATTAATTTTTTATATTAATTTGAATATCGCGGACAAAGATGGCTGATCATTGCTACCAACCATCAAAATCAGCGTCAAGACATCACACGTGGACATATGACGCTGAACTAGCAGCCAAACAGGGACGTATCATGGCTCCCCGGGGCCCCGGGCACCCACATCCCAAAATGTGATAACCAGGCCCGGGATTTTGATTTAACTAAACTTGGCCGCGGTACCGTAGCGGAATCTCGGGGAATATGGACCGAACAAATGAACAAACCGTCAATTTTTCGAAAAGTTGTGAAAATGATGGTTAACCACGTGGCGTGCTGACAAGTTCACGAGGTAAGTGTAAATAAGAACCTAAAAAATATTATTTGCGTGTGAATGATGCCGAGGCTAATGGAAGTGAAGTAGCAGGAGTAGGGATCGGTTAACGAGGACCATATCCAAAGAGGATCTTTGACCATATCCCAGGTGATTCTCAATTCATTTTTCTCAGTCGTGAGGGGGTAAGTGGGGTGCAGGTGAATGCAAAAATTTTTTCATCACAATTTTTTTTTTATCCCTAAATTGATCACCCCATGCGAGTGAACTGCCGCAAAGCTTATTTTTATTTTTTAATATCAATGAGACGGCTGAGTGAAAAATTCTGAAAAAAATCAAGTGTTTTGTTGAATAGGTTAAAAAAATTTTGCAATGGTTTTTCCGATGATCCTTCAATTATTGAGTTTGGTAGAGCGACTCAAAGAGAAACGTCCACAATCAGGTGACCAAACTAGGGTTGAATGTACTTGAGAGATGGGGAAAGCATCCTGAGGAGGGAATGCGGTGGTATATTCATTAGAATATATCCAAATACTTTCGAAAAATTATTCTTCCAAGTTTTAATGGATTGAATAGGGGTGCAAGTGAAGGTAAACACTTGGCGATGCCATTCTTTTTGGAAAATGTTCCTCAAATGTTGAGAAAGTTTTCTGAGGAGAAAATTTAATTGTGCACTTATTCCAAGATTTTTCATTAATTAAAAAAAAATGTTCTACAAGTATTGATATAGTAAACAATTAACCACGTCATTCCTTTGTCAAAATGTATTTGAGATGTTGGAGGAGTCTCCTGGGGAAAAATTAGGTAGTATGCTGATATGTAGATTTTAAATTAATTGAACTTTTGTTTATTTTCAAGTTCCAATGGCATAATTAGCAGTGTAAGTGAATGCAAATACCTGGTTGATGGTAGGGAACGTTGCTTGAGGAGGAAATTCGGTGATGCACTTGTTAGCAGATTTTTAATTAATTCTTAGAATTTATTTTTTCAAAAGTTCTGATGGAGTGAACAGGAATACAAGTGAATGCAAGAGTTTATCGGCGTCATTTTTTTCCAAAAATATATCTCAGGGGTTGGGCAGAGTCTCTCGAGAGGGAAATTTGGTGTTGTACTAATTAGCTGATTTTTAATTAATTTTAAAACATGATGCTTCCACAAATCCTTATGGGGTTCTTATGGGGTCTAGGAAGGCAGACGGAGTATTACTAGGAAACTGCTAGAAGGGTTGGAGAATTCTTCTGAATGAAAAAGTTGATGGAGTATTGATTAGCCGATTTGCAATAATTTTTAAAAAATCAATTGCAACACAGATCCGAGTTTTATTTAACCGAGATTTGAATTTCATTTAACGTAGAGCTCAGTCGAGGTGAATGAGGAGTTGATTCAACCCTGTTATAGACCTGAGTTAAATTGATTCATGTTGAGTCAGGTCATATGACTCATGTGACCTTCATATGACCCACATGACCCACATATGACCCAAATATTACTCCAATATGACTCACATAGGACCTCCATATGACCTTCATATGGCCCTCATATGACCCTCATATGACCCGCCTATGACCTTCATATGAACTTTGAGACCCTCATGACCTCCATATTCCAAACATATAACCTCCATATACCACACGTATAACCTCCATATGACACATAAGACTTTCATATGACCCACATGTGACCTCTATATGACACTCATATGACCCTTATATGATCCCAATATGACCCCCACATGACCTCATATGATACCTCATATGACACACATATAACCTCCATATGACTCATATGACCCACATACGATCTGATCTGACGCATATATGACCTCTATACATAA